GGTGACGACCTTGGCTTTTGTCTCAACAGCAGTGGGTGCATGGGTAATTAGATGGGATGAGCACAATTTGTGCCTTTCCAAGGCTGTGATTAAGCAAAAATAGCCTCTATTCTTCAGCCGGCAGGAGGAGCCATGGGGAGCTGGGTGGGCCGCAGGTCCTGATGCTAGGTCTCACAGGGTGCTCTGAACAGGCCCTGTGGTTGCTGGTCCGCCTCAAAGTCCGTCACAAATCGTCACATAAACAGCTGTGGGCTTACTCACTCCAAATCTGGGCTTAGCAGAGACTTGGTCTGAATAGGGTCATGTGAACAGATGAGCAGGAAGTGGGAAGAAACAGCCTAGTGATCACGCCCTAGGATGCTGTGCAAGTAGCTCCTTACCACCAGGAGCCCTGCCAGCAGCTCTTGTCACCAGAGGCGCAGGGGAATCCTCTGGAGGTGGAACCGCAAAGCCCAGGATCAGGCTAGGTGGTTCTAGAAATTCCCAGAGGTTCCATAGTACCAGTTCCCCCGGAGACTTTTCAGCAGTGTGCTTCCCAGTGGGAGCTGCTCCCCTGGACCTAATTTCTCATGAGACCTTAGCAGCTCAGAGATGTCTCCTAGCTCTGTGTGTCTTGGGATCTTCATTTCCAGTTTTCCCCAAAATGCCAACCCCTTAAAGCTGATAAATCCTGGTCTCACAGGGGCCCCCAGTCTGATGAAAAAATAGACAAAGAACCCCACATCAGTAAGCTAGGCCCAGAGCAGCATGCTGTGACACGACCACCGTGGCTTATTTATTTATTTATTTATTTATTTTTGGTTTTTCTCCGGTATTGGGAACCGAACTCACGACCTTGCGCTTGCCAGGCAGGCGCTTTGCCGCTGAGCTAAATCCTCAGCCCCTGACCACTGTGGCTTAGAGAGAGTGGAGAAGGCTTTCCAGAGAGAGAGACCATGACCAGGGTTTTGTAGACAAGTAGGAGTTTTCTGGTATGCAAAGGTAGGAAGACCTTCCCGGGGAGACAGCTCAGTACGAGCAAAGGTGTGGAGGAGTGGAACAGTTATGTCCGGTGAGTCAGAGCTAGTATCCTCAATTATTGTAATAGGAATGCCTGGTTCTTAGAAAGGCAAACCCTCTTGGGCAATGTGCAGGCAGAGTGGCTTCAAGGCTGCCTCCCTGTGTGTCCACAGAGGCTTCTGCTAAAACTGGAGATGTGCCTTCCCATGGGGCAGATCTGGTCCTGGTGGTCAACTCTCAAGGGACCAGTATCTAGATCAGACAGGCTGGATCTCCTCTCCTCCCTCATGCACAGCAAAGCTTTCTGGCTTTTGTGCGTTGAAGCAAAGCAAGGCTCTGTCCCCGAAGTGCGTAGGAGGTGAGACTCTTCCTTTTTGCTGAGGTCAGGTAAGAGATGCTGGAGACAGCGGTGCCCACTCTCCAGCCGTGCCTCCCATCTCCAGCCAAAGCAGTGTCATGTATGGCTGGAACGCAGCACTTGTCCAGCAAGCTGATGCCCAGGGTATCGCGTGGGTTGCAGGGTAGGGGAGAGGGCTGACTCCAGGCAGATAGAGGATGGGGGAACTCCTTGGGCTGTGTCGTTATTGAGGGCATGGGATCCAGCCCACCCCTCACGAGGGCATGGTGCCCAGGAGACAGCAGGACCCTCATGTCTTCCCTGCAAGTTATTTATAGCCTAGCTATGGTTATTTGTGGCAATCACAGAGTTTAATCCTATAATCACACTGCGAGCAGGCACCCAGCCCAGCGAGGCCGGAGAACCTGCCAGGGCTCGGGGAGGTACTTGGCAGCAGGGCACGCGAATGTGCAGGCAGGCGGTGATGTCCCCATCAGCCTCCAGCCCTCTGTGTCCACTGTGGCCCCAGGTCTGGGCCCCAGAATAATCATAGCAGCGAACACCTGTAACGCTTTACATTCCATGTCCTGTTCTAAACCAGTTATATGCATGAACTTCTTTATCCTCATCATTGTTCCATGAGGTAGTTACTATTATTATTCCTATATCCCACATGAAGAAACCAAGGCTTTGGTTTAACACAGCTGATAAGAGGCAAGTCTGAGCTCCACCTAGTGGTGCTTACCTGTAGTCCCAGCACTCTGGAAGGTTGAGGCAGGACCATGGCAAGTTCAAAACCAGCCTGGGCAACTTAGTGACTTAGGGAGACCCTTTCTCAAAAAATTAAACAATCCACTGTGTAGAAGAAAAAAATTTAGAAAGCCAAGTCTGGAACTTCAGCACTCTCGCTCCAGCATGCATGGTTTAACCTCAGCCCTGCCAGCTCTGGAGGCAGGGATGCTCCAGGCCTCCATGCCCTGCCGAGGTCTCAGCCCTTCCCCTGCTCCTGGTTCCTCCTGGTTCACTCACTCCTGATGAGGCTGCACACATAGCTGCCTTGTGTTGCTTCCTTCCTGGGTGCTCTTTCCCTGTGACAGACCGCTTCATGTCATGGGAGGAGGGCCTGGGGTAGCAGACCTGGACTTTAATGTTTGTGGGTGCTGTGGTCCATGGTGCTTCATGTCTTTGCAGAATTGGCTTGTCCACCTCACGGGGAAGCTGTGTGGTGCAGGACAGGGCAGCACCTGGTGAAGCATCAGATATAAAGTTCTCTAGCTCAGTTCCCTTGGTCTTATTTATGTGGCATATGGCAAGTTTGATGTGGGTTGTTTGTCCTGGAGCCTGGGTTGTTTGAGCCTCAGTTTGTTTATCTCTAAAATGGGACTAAGAACAAAAGCACCCAAATCCAGAAGGTAATTGTGGGGACTAAGTGAGGTGACACATACAAAGCATACAGTGCCTTGCACATAATACTCATCATTGTTCAATAAAACTGGATCATTCCTATCATCTCTTATTATCATCCTGTTCTGAGCCCAAGGCCTGGGTCTCCCATAGCCAAAGGCAGGGCCAGGTCTTTAGTGCATTAGGAATGATGCAGAAGACTCTGAGCCACTGCAAGGGGCATTTGAAAGTACTGGGCAGACCCAGGCTCAGCACAGGTTTATTTCTCCTCCCCCTAAAAGCCAAACCCCTTCATCACTTAGAAAATGATTTCCTGTGTGTGGGCAGCAGCTCTGAGCTCATAAAGCAGTTACTCTCCATCCAGGGCTGTGCCTGTGAGGACAGAAGATTTCAGAAATGTACCTCCTTGCTGAGCAGAGCTCCTCCTTTGAAATTCTTTCGCTGAACACCTTTCCCTGGGGCTGGCAGTGGCTGAGGTTGACTCAGACACGGATTGGCTAGGGATGCGCGCAGAGCCTGTGGGAAGGACCCTCCCCAGCTATGACTCACAGCGGCGAGCAGTAGACCCCTAGAAGAGGAAGGGGGCGCATGAGGAAGAGAAGGGTCATCCTCTCTAGAATGGGCTTTGTAAATGAAGGTGAACAAGTGCTTCACAATCTAGCTGTGGGTTTTGGCTGTGCAGAGGAAGTAGTATTTGTCTGACAGGGGAGAAAGGAGAGGAGGCAAGGTAGGCTGGACAGAAGGAAGGATTCCTCAGGGTGGCCTGTTGGATGTCTTTGAGGTCCCTCTCTACCTGCAAGCCCAGTATCATGACATTTGGGAGTTAGGTGTTAGGTCAATGATTGGCACGTTTTTCTGTGAAGGGCCGGGCGGTAAATATTTCAGGCTTTGGGGGCTGAACATCTGTTGCCGCCACTGAAGTCTGTGACTACGGTGTGAGAGCCGCCACAGGCAATCTGTAAGTGAATGAGCCTGGCTGTGTCCCAATAAAACTTTATTTACAAAAACAGGCTGTAGACCCCTGTGTTAGAGCAGGGAGAGTCAGAGAGGCCTTCCTGGAGGAGGCCCTGAGTCAGGCAACTGGAAGGGGCCGGGAGAGCACTTCTGGGAGTGACCTGCTTTACCCCAAAACTAGGGGGCGATGCCAAATGTCATACTGAATGCGGACTTACCTCTCTGCAGGTCCACTTCCCCGGGACCATGCTCCTTACTGTCTCTCAGAGAGCTTCCATGAGATTTCTTCCTTCCCTCCCCGTCCTGCCTTCCTTTCTCTTTTAGCAGTGCTAGGGATAGAACCCAGGGCCTAACACACGGCCGGCAAACACTACCGCTGAACTATACCTCCCACCCCAACCAGATACTTTTGAAAAAACTATTTATCTGGCTGTGTTAGTGAGGACTCTCCACAGAAACAGACTCAGCTGGAGAAGCAGAGAGTTATACAAAAGGATTATAGGGGATTGGCTGTCCCAGCTGCAAAGGCTGAGAAGTCCTGTAATCTGCGGGCCAGCGGAGGTCCAGGAAAATCAGGGGTGTTGCTTCAGTCTCAGCCCAGGTCTGAGGTCCGAGGGCCTGAGGAGGAGTAGCCCTGATGAGTGAGGGCAGGGGTGAGTGAGTAGTGAGTGAGTGGACTCGCCTTTCCCCGACCTTGGTGTTCTTTGCTCACCCAAACTAGACGGGCCACATTCTGTTTACAAGGTGTCCTAACGCAAAGGTTAATCCCAAGCTGGGAATGCAGCTCAGCGGCATAAGCGCCTGCCTGGCAAGCACAAGGCCTTGAGTTCGATTCCCGGTTCAAAAACAAACAAACAAAAAAAGGTTAATCCCTCCTGGAAGCATGCTTGCAGGTACACTAGAGTATCATGTCAAGCAGACATGGGTTTTCCAGATGTGCTGGTGTGAGTGTGTATGTGTCTTGAAGTATCATCCAGGACCAGAAATGGCCATCATCAGATGATATGCAATGCTGCTGTTGTTTTTGGTCAACAAGAGGAGAACTGCTCCTTCCCAAGGATGCTTGTCCTCAGTCGCGGTGGCCAGCATCCGTGGTGGCCAACCTCTGCCACTCTTGCTTTCCTTAGCAGGACAAAGCACGTCATGGTGGGTGGACTTCAGCGGCAGGGGGCTGGATGGGGTGACTTTCTCAATTCTAGACCATTCATAAGCCAGGGCCTCTGCTATGAAGCCAGCTGGGTGCATAAGTGTCCAGCAGCTGTGTGGGGTGGGCTGATACTAACCCCTGCTTCTGTCCCCTCTGCAGGAGAACTGTACCGGGTATCCCTGAGAAGACAAAGGTTTCCAGCCCAGGGAAGCATCGAGATCCATGAAGACAGTGAGGTGAGCTGACTTTCCAAGGTGTCCACTCCCATTTGTGGTCAATTTTAGGAAGGGCCCTGGGGCAGTAGACAGGTTGCCCAGCTTTCATCTTGCTCTTCATTTGACTTGCTGTGTGATCCTGGGTAGCTTCCTGACTTTCTCTGGGCTTCAGGCTCCCATATGAACAAGAGAGATGTCTTCAGACTCCCCCTGCCCTGACATCCTTCGAGGGTCTCGCCCTCCTCTCCTGGCAGCCTGTTCTCTCTCTGAATGTACCAGAGTTCCCAGCGCAGGGGAGGCTGCAGAGCTCCTAGACTTGGAGCTTGGGCTATCATCTCCCCATGTGTGTGTGTCCCCGTGTGCCCCGCTTTCCCCTGCTGCCTGCCTCGCCATCCCCACCCATGTCCCTTCAGGAAGGCTGCGCTCAGCGCTCCTGTAAGACGCACGTGCTCCTGCTGGTGCTGCACGGGGGCAACATCCTGGACACAGGCTCGGGGGACCCCTCCTGCAAGGCGGCCGACATCCACACCTTCAGCTCCGTCCTGGAGAAGGTCATGCGCGCCCACTTCCCCGCTGCCCTGGGCCACATCCTCATCAAGTTCGTCCCCTGTCCCGCCATCTGCTCTGAGGCTTTCTCACTCGTTTCTAAGTGAGTCTGCGTCTGCTTGTTCAGATGCCTGGTTGGTGTGCGCTGAGGGGACTGAGCAGAAGGGCTGCCCCTTCCTTGTGGGGGTGGGCATTGGGCACCGGCCAAGGACTCTGGGGAGTCAGCTCCAGGCCGGCCATGAGCATCACTGGTGGAGAGTGGTCAGCAAGAGCCCTCTACTGGGGATGGCTGGTGCCAGGGGCCCCACAGTAGCTTGGCACCACTTCCTGTGCTCCGTAGGCTTGACCCTCTTGGCACATATAAGGAAACTGAGGCCTTGATAGAGTTGGCAGTTACTCGGCAAATGGAGTCAGACTAAAGCAGCCTCCTTCCCATGCTACGCTATTACAGCCTGGTAGGGGAAGATTCTGTAGTGGAGGTGGCCAAAGGCACTGTGAGCACTTGGGGAGAAGGCCAGGGAGGACTCCCGGACGGGCTGACTTGTACTGCTGTGATAGCATGGATATGTATTGTGGCCGCTCAGGCCAGCCTGGATTTAGATCCTTGCGGTGTGACTGGGGGAAGGTGTTCAACCTCTCCCTACCTCAGCTTCCAGCTCTGTAACATGTGGGCACTAAGTGCCTTCTCGGGTTGTGAGCCTTCTGGGTGCTGGTGTGTGCATAGCGTTTAACCTGCAAAGCCTTCTTGGGCTGGGGTACCAGCTGCGACTGGCGCCACCATTCTCCTGGGGGAGGAGGCACTCTCTCTCCGCTTGGTGCAGGGCAGGCTGGGAAAGGGGTGGGGAGCAGGGATGCTAGAATGGCATGGGCAGAAGCTCAGGCTGTGCCCTGGCCGCTCCCTCACTGCAGATGCTGGCCTGTCCCTGCCCACTACGGCAATTTGGGTGATCAGGGCCTCCAGGGTCTCTGGGGATCCCACGCACTGCTTAGGGCCTGAGGGCTCCAGTGCCCCTCAGGTGCCCCAGGCTGACGGAGCTGAAGGTGGGTGCCTGGAGCCAGGGGGATGCTCTGGTTTCTCATCAATTGTCTACAAACAAGGTCCTGAGCAGCTGCAGGGCTGAAAGCATTTGGCAAATTATTGGGACTGGAAGTTGGAAGCTGGGAGCTTTCAGCAGTTAGGGCTGAAAAGGAGGGAGCTGTTGACACCTCCATCTGCCCCTCTGGCCCATCACATGATCTTGTTGGAGCTGGAGGCTGCTGCAGAGGCTGGCCTCAGGCACAGCCTCTACCATCTGGGGCTTGGGGAGGGCGGGGAGAGCTTCAGCAGGGAACTGGGTGAATGGGAGTCCATGGGTGGGCTGTCATACGTGGCTCTAGGAGGGTTCAGCTGCTCAGCAGTGTGGGAAGGAATGAAGTTTCCCTGCCCTAAGGCTCCGGTGGGTCTGGACCGGGCCCCTGCACTGTGCTGAATGGGGAGCAGAGGCTGATTCATCTGTGTTCCCAGGATGCCAGGAGGCAGATCTCAATGACAGGTGGAAGGGAGGAAGGAACGGGATTAGGTTAGGGACTCTGCCTACCTGGCTCATCGCCCGAATCCCCAGTGTGATTCTTGCGTAACCTGCGAGATGTGCAGGGTTACCCGTGGAGGTGAGCCAGGAAGCAGGGCCCTGCAAGCTGATCTTTAACAGGTGGTCACTGCTTCCCGTCCGCAGCACACTTTGGGAACTTCCCAGCCTGTGACGGAGGCTCTGTTCCCCAACCACCTAGAGTTAATAATTGCACCGGTTCATAATCCATCTTGGGACCCCCGCCTCTCCTCTACCCCCAGGACGTCTGACCTCCGGAGCTGGGTTACCGCTACATCCAGAAAGATGGATGGCCTGGCCATTTGAGAGGATAGCAGGAGGGAGCTTACCTCTACTCCTGGCAGCTCCTTGCCACAGCCATTAATCACCCCGTAATCACTGCTGGGAAGGAGTTTTTTCTCAGCTAATTAAAATCTCTCCGGCTGCAGTCGAGGCCTGTTTCCTCTAATTTGTGTTCTTTGGAGGTGAGGAAAGCTGGTAGGGCTGGCCTTACACACCATGAGAACTCCCTCACCCACTGAGGGTGCCCTGGTCCTGTCACCTGCCCTAAATTCTGTTGGGTCCCCAGTGGGAGCTGCCCTGTGCCCTGGGTCAGGCTAAGTTCAGACTGCGAGGAAGGACAGGCTCTGGGCAGGAAGTGGGGAGTTTGAAGCTTTTCCTTATGTCCCTCCTGACCAGCCAATCCCAACAGTGTGGCAGGGTGGGACGCACCAGGGGACAGAGGGAAGCGAGGTGGTGGTGGGGAGGCTGCTGGGAGCCTGGTTGCAGGTGGGCCTGAGCTGTCTGGAGAGGGAGGGGCTTCCTGGTAGGGAGGTCTGTGTGGGGTGTGTGCAAAGTCCGGCTTACGCCGGGGAGTGGAGATGCTGTGGGAGAGGCTCTCTCGGCCCTTTGGACAAAGCTGATGACGGCTGTGGATCCTTGCCACTGTACAAGGCACACGACACCGAGCAGCCAGCAGGGTTCCCACGTTCAAGCTGGGGCCACTGAGCGATCCCCTCCCTCCCACCTTCTCAGTTTCTCCAGAGCCTCCTCTGAGGCCCTCCAGGAAGTCTGCCAGGGTGCTGCATCTCCACCCTTGTCCGCTGTAGCTGGCTCCCCAGCTAATGTGTTCGTTCCTCTACAACTGGGGTGTCCTTAAGGCCATGCAGAAGAGGGCAAGAGAGCACTGCTGTGCCACGCCCTGGGCTGGTGTGGGAAGGACATGGGGGAGTGGGCATCGGCTTGAACCCCTCTCTCCTGCTCTTCCTGCCGCCACTGCCTGCGCTCCGTCTCACCCGGGCCTTGCCTGTGTCCTCGTGCAAGGTCTCTGGAGCTGGGGGCCCAGGGCCTGGCCAGCGTGTGCTGTCTTCTGCCCGCTCCTCAGCCCTACACCCGCCCTCCTTCTGATCCCAGCTGGGCTTACCATGGGCTCCTGTCTGCAGCCTGAACCCTTATAGCCACGATGAGGGCTGCCTCAGCAACAGCCAGGACCATGTCCCTCTGGCTGCCCTGCCCCTGCTCGCCATCTCCTCCCCGCAGTACCAGGATGCTGTCGCCATGGTCATCGAGCGAGCCAACCAGGTCTACAGCGAGTTCCTCAAGTCCTCTGATGGGATTGGATTCAGTGGGCAGGTAGGACAGCCTTCCCCTCCCTTTCCATCCCGGCTATTGTCTGAGAGAGAGGCTGGGATCCGCCGGGAGGCTGTAAGAATCAAGACAGGCCGTTCCAGAATGGTAGCACCTGAGAAGGAAGAGGGTTTTGTTTTTGATGTGGTATGGGGGTTGAACCCAGGACCTCTGCATTGGGCTATATCCCCAGCCCCTTTTAAAATTTTTTATTTTGAGAGGGTGTCTTGTAAGTTACCCAGGCTGGCATTGAACTTGCAGTCCTACCTCAGCCTCCTAGAATGCTGGGATTACAGCCATGCATCACCAGGCCCACCTGAAGGCAGTCTTTGAGATTGGGGGTTTGCCCTCATTTTACAGATAGGAAAACTGAGGCTGACAACCTGAGCTTTGATTTGGAGCCCATGTGGATCCCTAGCTGAGTTTGATCCTAAGCCTAGCCTGACCCAGTCCTCAAGCTGACTGTAGATGAAGTTCTGACCCCAAGATGAGCCTTACCCCCAGTTCAGGCTCTCTGGGTACCTCTCTGGACTGATTACTTACTCTCCTGTGGGAAGTGACCCTGTGTGGCTGGGTGTGGGGTGAGGGGGCCAGCAGTGGGCAGGCCTGCAGTCCCAGCCATGCCTCCTGCAGGTGTGTCTCATCGGAGACTGTGTGGGTGGCCTCCTGGCCTTTGATGCCATCTGCTACAGTGCAGGGCCTTCAGGTGACAGCCCAGGCAGCAGCAGCCGGAAAGGGAGCATCAGCAGCACCCAGGTGTGGCCAGGTGGTGGGACTGGGGAGGGTCCATTCCCAGAGGAGTGGGGAGGTGGTGCTGGCACCCTTGATCCGTGGTACAAATGATTGTATCATAAATCTGCAAGGATAGCAAAAGATTACTATCATTGGTGGGGAGGCTGAGGCCCATAAGGGCTGACTGGGTGTGGCTTCCTAGACAGCTGTCTAGCACCCCAGCTGGAGGGCTCAACCCTGTGGACATGGAAAGTACCCTGTACCTAAAATCTCCCCATTATTGCATTGTGGGTTTTGCATGCCTTTTGAAAGTGTAGCTCCCCACATCACGGAAGGAAGGGGCTCACTTGTGGCTGGGGGAGGAGACAGGCCCCTGCAGTGGCAGTGCACCCTATCCTCTTACCGGCCCCCAAGGACACCCCAGTGGTGGTGGAGGAAGACTGCAGCCTGTCCAGCAGCAAGCGGCTCAGCAAAAGCAACATTGACATCTCCAGTGGGGTAGAGGATGAGGAGCCTAAGAGGCCATTGCCACGGAAACAGAGCGACTCCTCTACCTATGACTGTGAGGCCATCACCCAGCATCACGCCTTTCTCTCAAGGTAACCGCCTCCTCCCTGGCCTCTGCTTTCTTTCTATCAAAATGACCTGGGGAGGGAGGACCTTGTCTCAGAGTCACCTGGGAGATCTATGACGAGTCATATGTCCCAGATCCTTCCATGCGGGCCTATAGACAAGGATCAAAGTTCTGGGACTGCAGCCATTTGCCATCTTCCTTGCACCAAGACCCAGGATTCTGCTTCCTGTCTCTGCCATGATCAAACTTGCAGAGAGACTGGGGACGATGTATTACACCTGAGTCTCTACTTCATGTTCTGCAAAAAGATAATGCTGCCCAGCCTACTGTCCTGTACAGGTGGAGGAATCTAGGGGAAACAGATGTGGACATTGTAACCTGCCCCAGGTGTACATCCCCATTATTTCTCAGAGGAGGCAGTCACACCGCCAGTCACCAAAGAGCTGGGGTCAGCATTCTGGTCTCCCTGTCCCTGTTTCAGTGCCTTGAACACAACACACTTCTGTTTGTGGGCCTTCCACTAATCTTTGTCTAACTTTCTAGAAGAGATAGCCAATGAACACAGGTTCATTGCATTATGTGCACATTAATTCAGGATACAAATGAGTGTTGAATATAGACCCAAATTGGCAGGAGTGTCTTTTTTTCTTTCCCTTCTCTTCATCTCTCTCTTCCTTTGGTTTCTCTTTTCTTACTCAATGATAAGTTCACAAGGTCATTATAACACTTGGAAAATGTATCATCTTACCACCCAGAAGAATCACTGTTAACATTTTATTTCCTTTCTGTATATTTTAAAAAACATATTATGCATATAGTTTTAATTAAAAAATCCCCAGACTTCTTACCCTGTGATCTTTTCTCCATATAATTAAAAATATTTGGTTAATATTCTTAATAGCAGTATGTTTTGTTGAGTGAATGGACAGTTCTCATAAATTCAATCCCCAGTAGTTGGATATTTTGTTTTTTTTCTAGTTCTTCACTATTATAAATAGCACTATGGTAGGTATTTCTGTGCATTGACATTAATATGTGTTAGGCTTACTGTAGTCTTACCATGTTTGCATTTTTACATTCTGTAACTTCAGTTGGTTGTTTATCAACCACAGTCCAAACATTACATAGAAAACTCCAGAAACAAGTAAGTCATAAATTTTAAATTGTGCACATCCTGAGTAGCATGATGAAATCTCATGCTGTCTCACTCTTATCCTACCTTGAACATGAATCACTCTTTGTCCAGAGTACCCACCCTGTATATGCTACCTACCTGTTAGTCACTTTGTAGCTGTCTAGGTTATCAGATTGACTGTTGTAATATTGCAGTGCTTGAGCTCAAGTAACCCTTATTTTACTTAATAATGACCCCAAAGCACAAGGATAATGGTACTGGCAATTTAGATATGCCAGAGAGAAGCCATAAAGTACTTCTTTTTAGTGAAACAATGAACATAATAAGATATTTTGAATGAAAGACCACATTCACATAACTTTTTAATAGTATATTGTTATACTTTTATTGTTAGTTATTACTCTCTTACTGTGTCTAATTTATAAATTAGACTTTGTCACAGGAATGTTTGCATAGTAAAAGAAACACGATACAGAATTTGGTGCTCTCTGTGGTTTCACGCATCTGCTGAGGTCTTGGAACATATTCGTGTGAATAAGGGAAACAACTGTACTTCCCTCAGATGCATTCTTGGAGGTGGAATTATGAGCCTCTGTGTATTTAAACTTTTGTCTATTTAAAGCATCTCAACAGTTTATCCTGCAGAAAAGTAGCTCCATGCAAGTGAGAGTTGCAGGGTGAAAAAATCACAACATTTCTGGTTCACCCTTGAAAAATCCTTTAAGAAAGCCCCACATTTGGAGAGTGACAAGAAATCAGAGGCTTTTCGATAGCTACCTCAACACAGCCAGCTTTTCCCTCTGGTGCAGGGACAGATGGCTGTTTCTGTAGCAATTAAGTAGTTGGCGTGTGTCTAGGGACCACGCTGCACATGAAAGATGTATGGTTAAGCACGAATGTCGTGGTCTGCACTGTGAGATGCTCACCCCGTGGGAAGCAGAAGGGAGCACGAGACTGGAGATTCAACTTTGCACACTTGCTTACCCTGCGGGGTGGGACCCTTGCCCATACTGCTCCAAGTATTACTTCTGAAATTTTTCTCTTCCAACTCTGAATTTATATTCAGGTGACTGATTGGTAGATTCCACAAATTCCTTTGTTGGGTTTTGATCTCTAAGCTGTACCTCATACTCACAGGGAGGGCCCCATTTTTTTTTGCCTGACCCTCAGCCCCCAGCTCTGGGTCTGTGGCTGAGTAGAACTCGGACTCTTTCCAGAGCACCGGCCATCTGGGATGGGAATGGCTGGGATTCTGTGCGTCTCGTGTTTTTCTCCTTTAGCTCTGTTTCCCTTGCTGGCTGGAGCGGGTGGGAAGGTCAGGCTGTTTGCATCTGTGTCTGCGGGTTGCCTGGAACACGAGTGAGGACAAAAACCCTAAACCTGGCAGCCCTGACACTAGCCAGCTGGTCTGTGGATTGGCCAGGCTGGGCTTTTCCAGCAGACAGTGCAGGAATTCTCAGTGTGGCTGTCACGAGGCAGCACAAGGGGGCAGCCCTGGCTGGTGCAGGGTGCTCAGTTGCTCCCAGGTGCTCAGCCCGTTTCTGTAAATATGGCTGCAGTGGGTCACAGCCACATGTATTAAGTGGCTACTTTTATGCTTCGATGGCAGCATTCAGTCGATGTGCTGGGGACCAGATGGCCCACAAAGTCTGAAATATTTACCAACTGGCTCCTTGCAGGAAAAGTTTGCTGACCCCTGCTCTAGCCAAATGTTGGCCCGGTCTCAGTGCAGTGCTGATTGCCGCTAACTTTGTTGGTGTTGGGCAAGTGGACACCACGTGAGAAGGAGGGCTGTGCACTTGGCTCTCAGAGCGAACACCACGTTCTTGCTCTTCCCTAGCCTGCCTTCCCCTGTCTTTCCCTCCACAGCATCCACTCCAGTGTGCTCAAAGACGAGGCCGAGCTCTCTGCTGTGGGGGGGCCCCAGCTCCCTGAGGTCAGCCTGGGCCGCTTTGACTTTGATGTGTCTGACTTCTTCCTCTTTGGCTCACCCCTGGGCCTGGTCCTGGCCATGCGGAGGACGGTGCTGCCCGGGTTGGACGGTGTGTATAGCTGGATCTCAAAATGGGAGAAGAGGAGTGTTGGGGTCGGTGGGGAAGAATCACAGAGGTGGGGTCAGTAGAGAAAAGGAGAGGAGGGGTGGGGAGGGAAGTGAAAGTTGGGGCAGCTTCCCCGGATGGGCCAAAGGTGAGGCAGCTTTGGATGCATTTCACTGTCCCTGCCCTATGTCCCTGGCATAGTGGCCCCACTGTGCCATAGTTATGCTCTGTGGGAAGAGAAGCCATAAATGTTCACCCTACTGCTCCCCAGCCCCCCCACCCCTTGCTCAGCAGACCCCTGCAGCCAGCTGGGTTTCCCAGCCTGCCCCATATTCAAGCCCATCACAGTGTCTTTGCCCATGCACCTGCCACCTTGAAAACCTTTTCCTGTTCCTCTAGCATGCACATGTGAGAGGATTTGGCCACCAAGGGCTTTAGCAGTGACAGAGGAGAGGAGCACAGACTCACAGCTTGGAGGGCATCTTGCATGTCAGCAAATCAGTGCTCTCCCTGACGCTTGCTGACAGCCTCCAGTGTGACCAGATTGAAAGGAAGGGGCTGTGGCTGCAGTGGGGAGAGGAGGCAGAACTCATGGCCACCTTGTGTCATTGAGGACCTGCGGGGTTCACTGGAGGCTGCCTGTTCTGGCCCCTGATCCAGGACGGGCGACGAGCCGGAGAGGCAGAGTTTCAGTGGAGACATCTGCTGGCCAGTGAGAGAAGTGCCCTGTCAGCTCCAACAAACCCAGGCCCCATCTAGTTCCAGGCCTAGGGTTGAGTGTGGGGGCCCGAGCAAGGGGCCGTTGTCCTGATTTAAGGAACTTCTGTTGGTTTCATAGGTTAGGTAACAACTAAAGCTGGGGGAGCTGAAAGGAGTCTGACCAGTGGGAACTATGGAGGGCGTGTCTTCTAGGAAGATAGGACTCCTAGGAAGATAGGACAAAAGCACAGAGAAAGGAAAGCAGCAAGTAGGAAGAGGGAATCGCAGAGTTCGTCGTGGCTGCGGTGCCTTGCTGGGTGTCTCTAGTGGCACTCGTAGGTGGGGACGATTGGCAAGGCTTTGAACGGTAGCTGAATGTGACGGCTTTGTTCTAGTTGGTAGCAGGGAGCCATGGGAGGTTCTTCAGGGGAAGAGAAGGCTATTCAGAGCTGCACCCCAGGGATCCTTCTGGGGCCAAGGGGGCAGGTACTATCAAGGGGCTTCTCCATGTGTCTTCCCCACTTACCCCAGGTTTCCAGATGCGTCCTGCCTGCAGCCAGGTCTACAGCTTCTTCCACTGCGCGGACCCCTCTGCCTCGCGGCTCGAGCCTCTGTTGGAGCCCAGGTTCCACCTGGTGCCTCCCGTCAGCGTGCCCCGCTACCAGAGGTTCCCACTGGGTGATGGACAATCTCTCCTCTTGGGTAGGTCCTCAGGGCTAGAGGCTGGGCCTCCGCCAGGTGGCATTCGAGGACTGCTCTCTGGCCCAGCTTCCCGAGCTGTCAGCTGATGCGGTGACTCATCTGAGAAGGGTCTGTGAACTCCTGGAGGAGACAGCAGGGAGTTGCTGACTCTTCTGTCTTCAGAGTGGCCACCGTGCCCTGCACTCGCTCTGTGCGAGGCATCTTGGGTCCAGAGAGCCTGTTTGTTCCCAGCAGGCTCCAGGCCGAGCTCCTGTGGGTGTGGGCCAGTGTCACAGTCGAGTTGTCAGACTTGAAGGCAAGTCCAGGGATCTACATCCACTACCATTCCCGAGTCCCAGCCCGGATTCTAGAGGGAGGGACTAAGCCATCTAGGCTTTTGTGGAAAAGGTGGTTTTTGACCAGGGCCTGGAGGGGAAAGTGCGTTTGAGCAGGAGGAGAAGAGCTGGAGGAGGAGGGAGCAAAGGGGAGCTGGGCAGATGAGTTTGGGGAGGGTCGGAGGCTACCAGGGCTTAAAGGGGGTGAGGCTGAGGGCAGGTGTGGAATGAAAAGCAAGGGCTTGGAATCCAGGCCTTGGCTGTATACCATGGTGCAGCGGGAGTAGCCTGAGCCTGCTCAGTTGCAGGCCAGAGAAGGAGGGACGCTGTGCGTGTGGCCCAAAGGATTAAGACCCGTCCCCTCCCGAGCCTTCATTTCCAAGGGACATGCTTCCCAAAAGCCCTGCTGTGCAAGGAGCTTCCTTAGGTAGGCAAAGCTCCAAGAATCCCTCCCCATCCTCGTGGTCGCTCTTTGGTCAGGGGACCCTGCACCGCTCGCAGCCACACCAGCTCCCAGGCTAGAGTTCATTTCCATTCACGTCCAGGTCAGCCACAGTCCTTTGTGGCTTCAGGGGAGGACTTTGGTAGGAGAGACGTGGTTACTTGCCATCCCCATGACCTCAGCTGCGCTTTGCACATCTCCCTCTGCAGCTTTGTTGGGAGTGAGGGTGGTGGTTGGAGCCCTCACTGCTTGCCTCACTCACCAGTGAAGGGGGGGTGAAACAGCAATGTACTTTGAAAGGAGACCCTTCAGTCCCCAGTGGGGTGTGCATGCGTGTGTGCCTGCGTGCGTGTGCCCACGTGTGTGTGTGTGTGTGTGTGTGCACGTGTAGTGCAGGTTGCCTGCTAGGCCTGGGCTGGTTCCTCTGCCCGCTCAGTTTCCTGCCCATCTTGCCCAGCACAAGGTTGGCACTGAGTGGCCAACTCTGTTGGAGATCCACTACTTACCCTGGCCTTGCACTTCCCCTTCCAGCTGATGCCCTGCACACCCACAGCCCCCTGTTCCTGGAGGGCAGCTCCCAGGGCAGCCCCCCGCTTCTGGATGCCCCCGCTTCACTCCCTGAAGCCCCAAGGTTCCAGCGTGCCGGACGGAGGCTGAGCGAGGGCAGCTCCCACAGTGACAGCTCAGAGTCCTCGGACAGCCTGGCACCCATGGGTGCGTCCCGCAGTGAGTGAGGTCCTTTTGGGGCCCTGCCTGCATTTCAGGGAGAGGGGCCCTTCCTTGGGGTGGTTTTGGGTCCGTAGCCATGCAGGTGGCCCCCTGCAGGGAAGAGGGTGGTATTCCTGCCTTTTGGGAGCTGTTGGTCTGTTGGCAGAGACCTGGCTTTGGACTGATCCTCACTGACTTCCCAGACTGGGCAATGACCTCAGAAAGAACCTTGTCCTCTGACCCTGGACAGGCCCCAAATGCTGAGCCTGGCTCATATGAGCTTTGCTCTTGCCTAGAGCCTTGGTCCCTGATCCTAACCTGGGACTGAGTTTTCATCTTGAACGGAAGCTTGGCCTCTGACCCTGGATAGGGCTCTGATCTCCGACCATGGACCAAGCTGTGACCTCTCAGTGCACTGACTGAGCCCTGACCTCAGAGCCCCTGCTGATCAGCAGCCTGGGGCTGACGCTTTCCCGGGTGGGGCTCAATCTGGAGGAGGGGTGCCCAGGTGATGGGGCTGCTGTGTGGTGAGGAGGTGGTAGGAGGGGAGCAGCCCACTGCCCCAAGCTCAGGTGCGGCCCAGTGCTCTGGCCCTAAACTTGACAAGCAGCACGTTCACCACCGGGTCTGTGCAGCCAGAGGCCCATGCTACCGCTTGGCTGCCCTGTCCTCACCTCCTTCTCGGACCTGCAGTCACGGCCAGATGGTGGGGCACCAAGCGGATCGACTATGCTCTCTACTGCCCTGATGTCCTCACCGCCTTCCCCACCGTCGCCCTGCCCCATCTCTTCCACGCCAGCTACTGGGAGTCCACTGACGTGGTCGCCTTCATCCTGAGACAGGTACTGCTGCTCCCTGGCTGGGCCAGGCTGCAGGCTCCTCCAGAGCAACCCAGCCTTCTCCTGCAGACCATGCTGACCCCTGGTCTGCTGTCTTCCTTTTCTTTT